TATATATATATATATATATATATATATATATATATATATATACAGCAGCTGTAATGCAAGTCCTTTACATTACAGATGCATGGTGGTGTTTGTGCGAGAAAACAGAAAAGAGGAGTGGGAGAAAATCATGACAAGCTCATGTTAGGTTTCATGTTTTCTAACCGGCTTTTCTGATTCTCCCTGAAGATTTCAAATGTCACCCAAGTAATTAAATAAGCTCTGAAACGTTGGGGGTAATTACAGGAGGTCAGTCTGCCTCACACTTGTTCTCGGGTGGTCAATTATCTACCGGCCTAAGAACTAGAGAAAGTGTCTCCTCCATCACGACAGATAGATGTTTCTCCTCCAGCTCTGGGTTCAGAGCCGCGCTCCATTAATTGGGCATGATCCAATTCCCAGCATGAGCTCCGCCAGCTGGCACAGGGATGCACACTGCATGTTCTTTTCCCTAAACACTGTTTCATTATTTCTTGATTTAAGGCGAGCACAGAGAAGCCTCAAGGCAACAGATGTCCATCTGCTTTTTGGTGGCTCAACGATTACACCGAAATCTGCCTGTATTTGAGAATATTGTGTGCTATTGGCATACCTTTCCGTGCAGGTGTCCTGACACAATGTGCTGGTCATTTTCCGGAAGTCATAAAAAACCATTCCTTTGAGCGCCCGCTCCTTGGCGTCATCCAGAAAGCAACCCAAGTACGTCCCTGAGCGGAGAAGAACAATCGCATCAGAAATTCAGAACGTGACCTTTTTCCGTGTAAACAGATGGGAAGATTCTGCAGCACAGCTTGGAATCGAGATAATTGAGAAAATAAACCAATTATCATAAACAGTCAATTTGTCATTGTAGAAAGCACACAGCTCATTTAGCACAGAGTTTCACCTTTTGTGTGGATGTTTTAGATGTGAACTTTTAGAAATGTTTTATAAGCTGCGTTTCTTATGCACTAGTCGACACCATGCTGTAATATAAAAAGTTTGATCACACTGATACGGTATATCTAAAACCAATAAGTTCACATCAATTACCTGAATGATGCACTTATTCAACTGATAAACAGAAGTGTGCAATGTTGATCAACTCATGAACTCAACAGTAGCAGATTTGATTACACTGCAGAAGGGGAGGAGCTATAGGGGCAAAGGCTGGATGAGTAAATTGTTGGAGTGTGAGACTGAAGTTTTTAAAGTTATTTGCTATTGACTTGGAAACAGTATGAAAGTCATTAGTGTTGCAATGGGCTATACGCACAGCTAGTGTTTTTTAGCCAATCCTTTTATATAGTTTATTTTGCAGCATCGATGTTTTTAATGTAATTAAAATACTGTTTAATCCATTCAACAGACTTAAGCATTCATTTAGTTGTTCAAGCATACATTGAGATGATTCTAGCTGTAAGCAGCAGCAGACTAGTGCAGAAACTCCTTTGAAAATACTGGAGTAAAATAAATGTATTCTTTTCTAGATATGGTGGGGCAAATTGGAATTTAACGCAGTGCTTCTTGCATGGTCTGAGACACATTATATTGTATATCTATCAGACAGTGAAGATCAATGATTTTTTAAAGAAATCAGATATTAAACAAGGCAATTTGTAATGGAAAGACACAGGAAGTGCTTGGGCTACTTGACTGAAAATTAAAAGTCTGTGTTCATATAGTATACCCCATTATGACAACACTGAATTCATATACTATGTTATTGTGTATACTGTAAGTGCATAGTGTGAAATGCATCATTTAGGACACTGCTGTAAGCTTCATTCCAATTTAAGGGTGAGATTTTAAATGCATTTGAATTGATCAATTAATTGATCAAATGTTACAACAATTTATGTTACAAAAGATCATTTATGTTTCTATTCACCAAAATATTAAGGCACACAACAAAAACAATAAGTTTCTGATTGACCAAGTGACATAGAAGACTAGTAATGTCAGTACAAATATCTGCTCAAATTGAATCCTTACAAATTTCCAAAATCTAACAAAATATGGTTTATTTAATGGAAACAGAAAAGACTCAAAAGAAATTCACGCAAAAGACACGATGTACACATGCGTAGCCAAATTCAAGTGCATACGACAAAATTCACTTGCGTAAAATATTTTAATATATTCACAAAACAATTCACATTTTCATAAAATACGTTTCACAAATGCAAAACACCATTTGCAAATATATAAGAGTGTACAAAAAGTTTCCTGAATGGAATGTGCAAATCCTCTTTCACGTACGACTCCCCCTGGATAGTTGTGTGTGTATTTTTGAGACTCTCCTAGCAGAAGCAGGCAACACGTACCTTTCAGCCAATCAGATGAAAGCTGAATTCAATGTCACCCGCTCCTTTTGCGCAGTCTGTTCCTCTCCAGCATGGCGAACAGAGAAAGAGATGCGCAGGCTTCAAGCCAACTTAATTTACATTATATCTAATGAACGTAAACAGGCTGTTGTTGTGCTTTAGTTACCTAGCATGTAAAATATACCCTATCGTTCAGTAATATATATATAAATGTTTTAAAGGATTCTTATGAGTTTATTTTTTTTTAAATTAAGCTAGAAGCAAAAAAAAAAAAAGAATGAAAATATGACAACATAAACTAAGTGTTTATTTACTTATCACAGGATGTTGTAAACTTATTTATCTCCTTTTCTCAGAAGTCAAAAATCAGGCATAAACCGGGCTAAAACCCCAGTATCTGAGCTGTGGCATTTATTTGATTGGATTTGATTGACTGAGGCAACGACTTTAAAAACAAAACTAAAGTGCTGTCAGGTTGAATATTCTGATTTGCTGGTGGTCAGTCCTTGCTGTCTCCATATTATTTTATAAATTTTTTGTAGTTTTTTATCAAAATATCTTATGCTATTTCAACAGTTCCATCCATTGCAACAGATCGATGTTAATAATTTAGAACTGGGTCACAAAAGACTCAAAAATTTAATAATGAATGAATTAGGCCATTAAAGGATTAAACAGAAAACAGTGGCAATGGCAATATTTCACAATTCACTCTTTGTTTTAATACTAAAAACAGAGCTGAGCTTTACCTTTGTGTCTGATCTTTCTCTTCGGAAGGACTTTCTCCACTCTGGATGCTTCTTGTTCTGACATGAGGCTGTGGAACCAGCGGCGTCTCAGATGTCGGATCTCCTGGTTTCGTGAGATGAGCCATTGTGGCCCATCGCTGTCTTCGGACAAAACACTTTGGTATCCCACCCCCTTTCCAGCAAGCCGAGCACCCATTATTCCATAACTCGTCCGCAGGGCAGGTGCCTCCAGGGCCCTGGGAGGAGACGGCAAAGATGGCAATGGGTAATAACTACTCATCCCACGCTGTGATACCACCAGTCCATGTCTCTGCAGAAGAAGGACACTTCCAGCCATAATGTAAGCAACACCGAGAAACAAGAAGAGCAGCTGAGTCCGTCGCAAGAAGCGCTGAAGCCTGTAGAAGGGCTTTGCCATGTTGCCCTCCCTCCAGTAAAGAAATTCAGGATTCTACGCTTTCATTCTGCCATTGTTCCAGCAACAAAAAAAAAAGATGGATTCCTATTCCAGGAGCTTCATTCTCCAGACAGCTCTGTCACCGAAACCTTATTCACATTCTGTTTAAGGACTCTTTGAGCGCAAAAATTCCTCCGGCAAAATGTCCCGCCGTTTACCTGTGAGAGGATTAAGCGAAAGCCCGATTGTGGCGTTACATTGCCTTGATGACAGAAGTACTTGTGGCAGGATGTACTCAGAGCTCTTACGGCTCAAAGACTTCAGGGAACCTGGTGGGAAAATAGAAAGCAGTTAGACTCGAGTCGAAGCACATCTTTCACTTTTTTCATTCTCAGGGATACGCCGAAGTGCCAGAGACAAGAAAGAAATATATAGAGAGTGTGTGGCAGTTATTCTGGTAGTATGTCTCCATTAGGAGGAGAGAGCAGGCCTCGCTGGCTGGAGAAGCATTACCTGTTTGTGCTCCTGTCTGTCTTTATGAGTACACAAAAAATGAGAAGAATGTATGACGGGGAACTACAGTCTCCAAGGCCTGGGTTTGCATTACAGGGGTCATGAGATGCTTTCTCATCGTTTTTCTTTTTATTTAGTGTGCTGTACAGCTTGGAGTGTAAAAGATCTGCAAAGTTACAAAGTTCAAAATCACTCAAACAAGTATTTTTTTTCTGTCTAAAACAAAAGGTAAATCCAAATCTGTAAAGAACCTCAGTTATATTTTCCTTCACATACACTACTTTTTTATTATTATTATTTTCTTTTATTTAAGAATTTAAATAAAATTATTCTGTTCATCAAGGCGGCATTTATTAAATGTAAAAAATGTTTTTAATTGTTAAACACTTATTTATTAAATATTTATTTATTGATTATTGTACAGAGTTCAAATGAAATTATTACTCCACTCGTTTTTGCTTTTATTAATATTACCATTAATAATAATAATATTAGTAACAATAATAATTATTAGAGTGGGGCAGCACGGTGGTGCAGTGGGTAGCAGAATCGCCTCACAGCTAAAAGGTCGCTGGTTCGAGCATCGGCTGGGTCAGTTGGCGTTTCTGTGTGGAGTTTGCATGTTCATATAAATTTTGTGTGTACTTATTTTAGACCGTTATTAGATATTTTGTTAGATTAGCTCCAGCTTTGGCTAAAGTACTGACTAACCTAATGTATATGCACAAATATAATACTATAAAGCTTCCTTTAGAAAATATAGATTTAAATGGGAAATCTGTGAGGGGTGAACTCATAAATATTAAATTGTATACTATATTTATCCCATAAAAACAAAATATCACAATGTCAGTTTTTCCGATATTGTGCAGTCCTTAGTTTTATCTATTTCTGAATAATTCACAAACAGTTATAGTCAGGTATGCGAACACATAAGGTAGAGCACCTCTACAGTTTGCCCAAAGAGCATAGAATCACCAAGAGGCGACACTTTAGTGCAATTTGGGAAACAGCCACTAGATGGCGCGGCGGCCATTTTGGAATGAAAAGTCCAATAGAACAACAGCATATTATTAGTCTGTAAAATAAACTATTAAAAGTGCTGATGATTGTGATAGTAGGTGTTGTATTGTCGTCTTTCAGGTTGTATCTCAGCTTTAATGCACTTTTTAAATAAATATATAAATAAAAAGCAGCTGCTTGCCATCGCAACAGCAATAAGATACAATGGAACAGACAATCATGTGGCTGAATTTGTTCAAATAGCCCATTTGTTCAAAGACCACCTACTCTAAATGGATGTCATCAACAAAACATACAAAAACAAGGTATTCACGCTTTAATGAGATGTACCAAAACACTGGCATTGCTACAAAAAAAAATAAAATAAAAATAATATATATATATATATATATATATATATATATATATATATATATATATATATTTCCAGCTACTTATATTCTATTTATTCGTCCTATATATTCATCCTTCTCACACAATTCTAAACCACACAACAGGTTTTTTCATTCAACAGAGTATATGCAGAAGTATGCAAAAGGACTCTTATCTAATTTTACGCTTGAACAACTGAACGCTGAAGTCGTTTTAACTGATTATAATTTATTTACATTGCAACATCGATGCTTTAAAAGAAACCATATAAAATTGAAAATAAAAAATTCACATTAACTGTTCATCAGAAGTTTATCAGTATGGGAAAAAAACAGTAGTTGTGCATATACCCTATAGTACTGTTAAATCTCAATCAACATTCACAGAAAATAAATGTAGAGTGTGATGATCTCAGTGAAATTGAAGCATTATGGCATATTTGAACACCTGTTAGTACCAAATATCTAACATGTGTTCAAATAGGTCTTGTGCTACTATGATTTCTCACTAAAAAACTAAATAATAAATAAATAAATACACAAATAAAAGCTACACAGATGATAGTAATATCTAATATAAATGATATATAAATTATGATAATATAAATCATAAAGTTCTTAATACTTCATTAAAATAAGTACAGGTAACACATAGCAACTTAAAAATAAGTTAAACTTAACAAAAAATGTAGATTTATCTGATTTGAATAATTTTAGAAATATTAGTTGGCTTAACTTAAATTTGTTGCATTTGTTTTAAGCAATGTTACAGTGTTTAATATACTTTAAAAAGGCTGGAAGTTGACACAACCTAAAACATCCAATGCAGCCACTTGCCTGCACTTTTTTTTTTTTTTAAAGTTAGATCTAGGTCATACTTTTTACAGTGTATATAAACTATTAATAAAAACTACAATAATATCTTAGTGATATTAAAATAGCACCGAATTTGACAAGCTGTAAAATAATAATGTGAACTATAATGGTCACACTTTACAATAAGGTTCATTAATTAATGTTAATTAATGCATTTACTAACATGAACAAACAATAAACAATACTGTATTTGTTCATGTTAGTTAACGTTAGTTAATGAAAATACAGTAGTTCATTGTTAGTTCATGTTAACTCATGGTGCATTAACTAATGTGGACAAGCATAGCGTTGGATGTTAATAATGCATTGATATATGTTCAATTATGATTAACAAATGCTGTACATGTGTTGGTTATGATTAGTTCATGTTAGTAAATGCATTAACTAATAAACCTTATTGTAAAGTGTTACCACTATAATGTTATTTTAATAATGAGTAACTTTTGTACACATCAAAACCTAAAAGTGAAAATCACTAAATGAAATAAGTTAGTTTAACTCCTAATTTTTTTGTTACTTCGAGTTATTGAAAAGGAGTTATTGTAACTCATAAACTAATAATATTAACTAGAACTCAAATAGAATGAGTTATGAATTAATAATATTTTTGTGTTAACTCTAATGCTTTAAGTTAATTTAATCTATTTATTACAGTTTTTGTCAATAGCTTAAAATAAATAATATTTACAAGAGATTACAAAGAGGTACACTTAAAACAAAGATCCTTTATTGTTCTCAGTGGTTACAAATTATTAAGTAAAAATTAGACTTAGACCTTATTTTTAATATATTTTTTTGTCATTTTTATTGTGTAAATGTGACCTTATTTTTAAATTAAATTTTAACATTTAAAAAGAAAATATATCAATAATACCCATTTATGTTAGTTTTTTATACTTATTGTCTTTATAGCTTTTATTAGTGTATTTGTGTATTATTATTTTAGTTACTTAATAAGAAATAAGACCAAATGGAAATAGAAATCTCAACTGACCACTTGTGTTCGGACAGTGAAAATGCGAAATGGAAACCAGGACAAAAATGATCTGAAATGTGGTTTAGTACTGCTACTCTAAGCTAAATTGTTTCTGGAACTAGCAGCACTTTTTGCTTCCACTGGCTTTTAGACATTCTTGAAACTTTCAGCCCATTATTTCAGCTCCAGTGAGAATTCTTTTGTGTGGCAAAGAGGTGAAAAACAAACCTTGTAACAAGCCTAACTGAACCAAGGGGTGGGCAGGCCCTCACTTCCATTCATTCATGCCAATCAAGCAATCCTGGCTGTACAGAGCCCACTGTGTGTCCCACTTATTCTCCCAGTCTATTTCATCAGAAACATGTCTGAGTCCACAGAAGATGCAAACACAAGCTGAGCCACACACTGACTACGCATTAAAAGCATAATCACCAGACTACACATGAATATGAATCTGGATTTGGTTTAATGCATGAGATTTAATGGGAAGAATTTGAGGCCAGATGATAAAAGCAGAATGTACAACCATTTTTTTTCTCAAGCTGGTCTTAAAGACAGATTGACCCCATTTACTGGTTCTGTTTTGAACAAAGTGTGTGATAATTCAAATGAAAAATGTTTGCTTTGTAATCAAAATGACTAATCCAACAACCTGATCTCACAAGAACTGCATAACTGTTTTACATTCTGTCAAATTAGTGGCTAATTCATATTAATGCATTCATATGAATATGGATAAGTCTTAGAAAAATGCATGCTGAAAACTAAAAACTTAACCCATAAAAATAGAATATTGATTTGTACATAAAATAAATGACTTTTTAAATAAAAAACTAAACCTATAATATATATATATATATATATATATACATATATATATATATATATATATATATATATATATATATATATATATATATATATATATATATATATATATATATATATATATATATATATATATATATATATATATATATATATATATATATATATATATATA